GACTGGAGTACAAACATTCGTCATCACACAAATGAATGCCCCCAGCGGGACTCGAACCCGCGACCGCTGGCACAGCAAGTAGGGTCACTACACACTGAGCCAAACGTGTCGTCTAAATAGTCATACTATTGCATTTTTAGGGTTCCGCACTTATGTAAAATCAAAATTGTTAGAAGTCTTCTTTATTATAAGTCTGGCTGTCCATATACCACATAGTTACTTTCTACCGACAGAAGAGATAGCTTGAAGATCGATAAATTCTAATAATTTTTGTAGTCCAAAGTGCATAAATAATATCAAAAATCAGTTTTTACAAGTTTATTAAGACATGTCGAATGGAAGGGCTTATTTCGAAGGATACAAGGTATTTTTAATAAGTTGAGAATGCTCAGATACATCAAAGCAATATATAAATTTTGGTAACTATACATAGTTCATCACAGTGGCTATATCTATTTACTCAAAAACCAATACACATAATAAAATTGTAACTAAGCCGAATCTGTACATTAAATATTTTTTGGAAAATCTTATTGAAATAGACATTATTATCGATACAGAGTCCGAATCTATAGTTTTTAGAATTTTTGTCTGTCTGTCTGTTACCGCGTCACGAGACAACCAATGGACAGTTTTGATGAATTTTAGTATGACGATAGCTGGTTATCCGGGTCAACATATAGGATACTTTTTACCGCGAGAAAATGTCTCATTTCTCAGAAAAAATACATAAACTGCACTGTAAGAGTATACTAATATGTGAAACCTAAGAATTTGGTTTTTGGACATCTGAACGCGGGCGGAGCCGCGGACAATGCTAGTAACTAATATATGTCTATTTGTTTGGATTGGATTTATCTCATGAAAATAGTAATACATTTTCCTCATCTTTGTTCTCTGTTATTTGTGACGTGACATGATTGAATGTCTATTGAGCCAATTTGTTAAACATCAAAACAATAACAAAGCCAATTTTATCTACGAAAAGTGATCGTAAATCAGAGTTTCCAAAATAACTAGTTAAGGTCAGATACTTAACTTAAAAGTTGAATTATAATAATGACCTCCGAACCGATTTCGGTCAAAAAATAAAAAAAAAACCCTACGCAAATGAATTGTCATTTAACGATTACACTGGCACGCGTGAAGCACTTATTTGAGTAATCATACGCCGAAATGCCTTACATTATTTTGGAAAAGAGCTGATACTGTTACACTGCTGGACTGATATTAACTAAACATAGCTAAGAACCACTGCAAGGAAACTGGCTTTCAAATGAAAAAAAAACCGCATCGAAATCGGTCCATCCGTTTGAGAGCTACGACGTCAAACTTATAATACCCCTCTTTTGCGTCGGGGGTTAAAATTGTAACTAAGACGAATCTGTACATTACATATTTCTTGGAAAATCTTATTGAAATAAACTTTATTATCAATACAGAGGCCGAAACTATAGTATTTAGAATTCTTGTCTGTCTGTCTGTTACCGTATCACGGGAAAACCACTGGATAGATTTTGATGAAATTTGCTAATATCTATTTATATTTCCGTATTAACCGTTAAAACGTACCTAGGGACGAATTCTAGCGAAGCGAGGGTGAGTATTTAGTATATACATATGTATGTAAAAATCAATTGCTGTTCGTTAGTACCGCTAAAACTCAAAAATGGTCGGAAAGATTTGATTAATTCTTTTTTCGTTTTCTTGGGAGTGTATCAGGAGTGGTTTAAGTATAAAAAAATAGGGAAAACCCATAAGAACAGCTGGAAAATCGAAAGTTCGAACTGTTTATTTTGTATGGGAATCATTACTTCGGATTATTTTCAATAGAGGCGGACTACCATCTGGAACAATACGTCAAGTTTAAGTTGGAAAAATAAAATATATAATATATAGTCTATCTATTCTATACCAACCATTAAAAAGTACCTACCCAGGGTCGAACCCGAGCGAAGCGAGAGTGAGCCGATATTACATCTATACTATAATAAAACAGTAGAGGTCGAATGTCTGTTCTGTGCATAGCAAAAAAATGCTAAAAACCGAGTCAGGCGGATGTAAAAAGACAAATAGAACAAATCTAGTTTTGCATTTTTTTTGTTTCTCTGTCTGTTTGTCTGTTTGTACGGGCTAATCTCCGAATCTATTGGACCGATTTAAATAAAATTTTGCATGGTGGTACCTTATATCCCCGGTCAACATCTTAGATACTTTTTATCCCGGAAAATTAAATAGTTCCCGTGGGGTAGTTAAAAAAACTACAATAACTTATACAGCTTAGTACACAACAACTTATGTACCTAATTCAGTAAAATTTATCATTCTGATACCTTATATTGCCGGCTTAACAACAGGTTACTTTTCATCCCGGAAAAATGAACGGTTCCCGTGGGAACTAATAGATCTCTATTAGTGTTTTTCGAGAGGTGAACCAGAGCGAAGCGAGGGTGAGCCGCTAGTACTTAATAAGAAGATGAACACACACGGGACTGTGTCGAACGCTATTTTTATCATTATTTATTAAGATATTAATTTAGTGGCGTCTTATTTCTTTGTAAACAAGTAGCGCAATACAATAACAGCAACCGATATAAACATGAAAAGCAGTAGTAATGTTATATACATCATATATTTGTAGACTATAATTAGTTTAATTTTGGCCCTCTCATTAACATCACGGTGAAATTCCTGGCGTATCGAGCAATGAAAATGGGTTGTCAATTGCAACAAATATAAATTATTTATATTAAGTTAGATTTTAACTAAGTCTAATTCAATAAAAATAACTTAATACTAAATAATAAAAAATAATAACCATCGTGGGCAGGCAGTGTATAATCTTTGCATCAATGTAATGAAAAATAAACCTATACTTACTTTTTTTTGACGTTGGGAAATGCATTTAGGCACGAGGTGAGGGACTCAACGGCGAAGCCAGTACTACCCACCAAAACCCAACAAAACCTACCCCCGCCTTAATGGGGCGTCGCAGGATCGCTTACGCATTCAACTACGACGCCCCGACGGCAGGTCTGCCGAAGCAGACCACAACAACCATGGGGTTGCTCCAAGCTCCACTCTGCTATAGTATAGGCTGCAAGTCCTAAGTCATCTTTTAAAATACACGACATTGTTCTAGGTGCTATCTTCATCTTCCGAGATAAAATCTTTTACTTTCGGACAGGATTTCTTCAAATTCTTTCCCTTACTGCTTTGATCGCCTTTTTCATACGAGCACTACGTGGACGGCCAGATCTTTTTCTGTCACAAACAGTTTGGCTCAGTTTGTAGTGACCCTACTTGCTGTGCCAGCGGTCGCGGGTTCGAGTCCCGCTGGGGGCATTCATTTGTGTGATGGGCATGAATGTGTGTCTCTAGTCATGTGTGTTTATATTTATAATATGTATGTATTTAAAGTTATATATGTGTAGTGTATCAACTATCTGGTATACATAACACAAGCCTCGTAGCTTACCATGGAACTAGATGGCGCTGTGTGTTAATGACACAATGTTTGGGAACCAAAAAAAAACGAGGAGATTTCATTGTACCTATCAATAATAGCCCGGTACACAAACATTTGACTAATACCAAGCGTATGGAGAGTTTTAAAAATTGTATTTGGCTCCATACCTTCTTTGTGTAATGCAATCACAGCGATTCGGTTCTCTTTATCACCCCACTCCATTTTAATATCACAAAAATTTTACAATTTATTGGCGCGAAAATAAGAAAACACAATGAACAATCATATAAAAATGACAGATTCCAAATTCAAATGTAATATTTTGTTTATTTTTAATTGTAACCGTCTTTATGGCCAGACTATTAACGCAATAGAACCCAAAACAATGATTTTTAGAATGTTTGTCTGTTTATTTGTGCGTTTGTGCGCGCTAATCTCAGAAACGGCTGAACTGATTTGGGTGCGGTTTCTATCTAATCACTAATGTATATTAATGTAATGTGTAAGCTTAACTTAACATTTAGATTTGTTTTATTTCAATCGGTTCATAAATGAAAAAAAATTACATCAATTTAAAGAATCACCTAGGGACGAACGCGAGGAAAGCGTGGTTGAGTCGCTAGTATATCTATATAATATAAAGGTATAAATAACAGATTAACATGTTAATCTCCAACGTAAATGACTTGGTCTATAAACCTCTTGTGAAATTTTGCCTAAGGCTTTTTTTATACTGTAGGCGAGCACAAAGGAAGGGTTTTGATTCAAATTCAACCCTAAAATTAATATTTATCTATACCCACAAAATCATCAATTATTATTATTAAAAAGGAAACCAAATTAGTAAAAAAATCTAAATATATTAGCAATAGCGGAATTCTACGAGTATATTATACTGAATCTTGCGTAAAATTACTATCGTTATTGCTATCATAAATGTTCAGGAGTTTGGCCTTATAATGATAATATGATGATGATGTTCTCCTAGCCCATTCCGGCCACGGCGGCCAATCTCAATGAGATTAGCCAACTGCGCAGGAGATATTATAGTGCTCAAGTGTACGCGCAGACACAAGTGCACTCTCTATTCCTATCATTCTCATACTCCGGTGGGACGACTGCTCGACACGACCAGTGAGAGTTAAGGCGCAGGACCGACGGCTTTACGTGCTCTCCGAGGCACGGGGGTGAAACACCGCCAACTTCCCAACTCCGGGCTGTTACTGAGACTTACCATACAGGAAGACTCAATAACTAAACTTGGCCCGACCCGGGACTCGAACCCAGGACCTCCGGGAGTGCAGCCGTACATGCAAGCCACTACACCACCGAGGCAGTTGATAATAATAATAAATAAAACTAATCAAATATATTATTTAATATTTTGTATTTGTTTGGCACCCCTGAAATTTTCCTGCCGTAATGCGTCAAGCAAAATCAAGATATATAAACTGCAGGAAAGTGGATCAAGACAACGTTTGTTACATCTGTCTTAGTGTCACAACGTATACGGTTTATTTGAGGGAGTAAAATGGTTAGAAAATTTTGTAATTAATTTTAAAATATTATACTATATAAATAAGCATATAGTGAGAAAATTATTACATATTAAAAACTTAGTGTATTTGCTCTAATTTTTTTAATCTTTTTTTTAGGATGAGCTCGACCAGAATCAGCTTCAAAGTAAGTCAATATTTATTCTAGTTAAAATTATAACATTTATAGTAATTATTTTAACATTTTAATATATTATTATTTAAAATTTATAGTTTTTTTTAAATATAATGAATATGTTCTAGTTAGTGATAGAGAAATTACGTTCATAATTAGATAAAATCTTGGAAAACACTTAAAATTCAACTTTCACTATCTTAAACTGTGTTTAAGTAAAATAGTTTTTTTTTTTAATTTAAATGGGATAATCTTTATTTTTCTGATATATTTCAATTACTTAGCGAATATATAATAGAACATTTCATTATTGACTTAATTCCAAAACAAAATTATTTTTTCTTAATAGTAATCAATACCTAGTATTTGTCAGTTTTTAATTTTACCCACCAAAAATAATTAATTTTTGAGTAAAAATTAAAGTTAGTTCAACCATTTTAAATTCTAAGTCTAATTTTTAGCTCTTCTAGATCTAATTTTAGGTATTATTCAGTACAATAAGCATTTTCGATACCATTTTCTTCATACCTTATAAAAGTAAAAGTTCTAGAATGCAAATAGAACCTTCGAATTCTAATAGACCGACCGAGCGAAGTGTCTCTATTTAAAGCCTGGCAAAATTTTCTTTCCTCTGTCAGTTTCTTGGTACTCTTCTACAGGTCGTATTTTACAACCGATCTGGACGAAACTTGGTATACAGGTTTTTCGATTTAATAAAAAAAAATGATTTTTGATTGGTACTTCCTTCAAAAAGAGGCAAAAAGTACTGGATATCTCCGCCTTTTGGTACCTTATCCTATTAAATTCGATAGTTATTTTTTTATTTGAAAAGGTAGTAACTTTAAATTCGTTTCATACAAATTTGGTGAAGATCTGATGACCATCTTCAACGTGAGCAGAATAGCTCCTCAAAATGCAGTGTGTGCTTCGATGTCTAATGTACGCAGAATAACTAGTTTTATTTAGTTTAAATGAAAATAATTACATGCCAATTAATAAGTTAGGTACAAAATACATGCGTTGTGAAAAGATCCTCGTTTTATAGTTGTTCGAAGTCATTTTTGATCTTCCTCCTCAAATTTGTTTGTTTTTAAACCATTTTAAAACCTTATTATGGCGTATTAATTTTATTTTACTTATATCACCCATACTCTAGTTGTTCACTGTTTATCAGAAATCAATATAAACAATAGTACTGTTGTCCTAGGCCATGTCAGGGATAAAAATACGCCCAGCCGATATACATATAGTACTTAGATTGCACCTTCATTTAGAGCTAATGACCTACAAAAGTCTGTTTACATTGAGTGTGTGCCAAAAATTTCAATTTGTTGATCATTGCTAATAGTGAAAGCTAATTTAGTTTGTACTTTACAAGATTTTATTATTGACATCTTGTATGATCTTCACCAAATTTATATTTTCATATATATACATTTATATTGTTCTATAGATAGAAGAATTAACAACTCCAAGTAAATTTCTAAGAAACTAATTAAATTTCTAAGAAATCTATTGTTAACTGTACGCCGGCGTGTCCGCGGTCGTGGTGGGATTAAGTAATAATAGATATATTTTCTAGTTGTGGAAGGTGTAATGCTTTATAATTAAAAAAAGTAGCGACTTACTCTTGTAGATGGCGTTCCTAGGTGTCTTTGTCATAAGTACATTGTATTGCTTTATTTCAAATCTTTAGGCAACGTCCATAAAGCAAATTCAACTGTAGCTTTTTTCCGACTTTTTCTTCTACGATTTCTGCCAGTTAACACATTTTTATACGTACACATATAACATTTATAATACATTATATACGTATCGCAATAAAAAACTGGCGGTAACGTATGTATGGATATATCTTCCTATGTTTAACGTATTGTTAGAATCAGATCATCGTAGTATTAAAAGTTCTTTTTTTTTCGTTATTTTACAATGATATAGACTCTTTAGTCTTAAAACTACTCTCTCTATCTATCTAAACTAGCTAACTAAAGCAAACTAACTAACTAACTATCTAAACTATAAAGTCTGAGCGTAGATTGACGAATTGAGCAACAAATGAAATTACAGAAATTTCATTAAATTCATGCTTCCCTCGAAATGGTTGCTTGGTTTGGAAGATTATCCGTTAATGAATATTACTTGCTATTATTAATCAAGGTCCATATCATTTTAATGAACTGTAAACTTCATGAGAAAATGGCTCCCTGAGGAGTATAAAATTATTTTATTACAGTTATGTAATCTGTAATAGGTAGTTGGCTGTTGGTAGCAAGTTCAATTTTGGCAAATATAATTTCAATATGCATGAAATAATTTAAAAAAATAACATATTTAGACTTTTTAGGTTTTTTTTTTAATATTTCATTATTTTAAAAGTTAATCACATTAATTATTCTTAATTTATTGTTTTATAGTGCTCAAGAAGGCATTTGATACGTTTGACCGTGAAAAGAAAGGAGTTATCGGAACAGATATGATTGGAACGATTTTAGAAATGCTTGGCCACGAATTAGATGACGATACCCTTACGGAAATTATTCAAGAATACGACCAAAATGGTAAGCTTTTTATATTTTCTTGTAATATTTAAATATGATAATAGATGGCGCTGATTGTACCTTATGGAGGAATTTGTCATAAAGTTTCGTGAAAAGAAATATAGATGGCGCTAGTACTTCTTAGTCTTCAAAAATAGTTATTGGCTTTATACCAACTAAATATAAGTATAGAAAAGTCATATAAAAGTATACTATGTTAGCTTTTAGCATGCATTTAGACAAAAGTAAAAGTAAGCCTCTCCGTGACAATGTTTGCACATTGCCGTGACCAGGATTCGAACCTGGGTTACTACGGCCACAACGTAGGGTCCTAACCACTAGACGATCACGGCTGTAGAGGCGATAGTAAGTTGTTCGAATTTTATATTAGCTATCTATAGCAAACACATTGATTTAGATTTTGATGAAATATTACATAAGAAATAAATAGATTATTTCTTATTTTTTTTATTATATTGAAATAGTATAGAGAAAAATTAAATACGTATTCCATTGACATTTTTGATTATTATATTAAGGTTCGAAGAAAAATTAAAAAAAAAGATAAATATAATGGTCACTTGGTAAAATTTAAAAATAGAAACATTGCCGAACTACCTACCTTGTATTCCATATATGCATATATCTTATAAATACATAATATATAGTACACTGTAGTTTTAGTTTGATATAGTTTTAGTTAGAGATTAAAGTTTTTTAATAATTTAATTTTCATTTTTAATAATTTAGTCTAATAAGTAAATTTTTTATATTTTGACATAATTTATTATCTATATTAATATTAATAAAGAGGTAAGATTTGTTTGTTTCTTTGTCGGTACTGAATAAGCTCGATTTGGTAAGAGGATAGTTGGATACCCTGGAAAGTTTTTATCCCGAAACATTTTATGAATTTAACTTTTTACAGCTACTGGAGAGTTAGAATTTAGGTCATTCTGTTCATTGGCATCCAGGTTTTTGACTGAAGAAGTAGACGCTGAGGCCATGCTTGCTGAACTGAGAGAGGCGTTTCGGCTTTATGACAGAGAAGGTAATTGTAGAGTACAAGCAGTAACACACGTGCAAATTGTCGAATTTTTTTTTGCCTGTCTGTCTGTCTGTTTGTCTGTTTGTTACCGCATCACGAGAAAACTACTGGACAGATTTTGATGAAATTTGGTATAGCGACAACTGGTTATCCGGGTCAACATAAAGGATACTTTTTACTGCGAGAAAATATCTCATTGAGATATCTATACTAAACCTGAAAACGTAAGCAGGGACGAACCCGAGCGGAGCGAGGGTGAGTCGCTAGTATATAATAATAATAAATTTTTATTTCAAGTAACTTAGACTCATATTTATATAACGTAAACTAAAAATATGTTTTAGTCTCTAGTAGAGAATAAATAAATTTTTAGTTTTCATCGAATGTACTAGATATATAGGTAGTTATCATGTACCATAAGATAAGTGGACAATGAAGTATACTTCGATAAAAACTTTGCACACGCTACACGATTTAGTAGGTGTTAGCATCATTACGTTATTTTTTACTCTCGTCTTAAAACAAAATATAATAAGTACTAATATGCTTATGGAGCTCCTATACATTTTTTTATTAAATCCTAGGTAATGAGTTAAAACGTACATAATGCATATATAGATTTTAATTTTTTTTATTCTTTCATATCATAGGAAATGGATACATAACGACGGATGTGTTAAAGGAAATTTTCAAAGAACTGGACAACACGTTATCAGCTGACGAATTAGAGGCAATGATAACAGAGATTGATGCAGATGGATCGGGCACAGTTGATTTTGATGGTTTGTTAATATACTATGACTCCTTTTTAACTAAAAATACACAAAATAACTTATAACTCAATTCAAAAGTTATTATTTAACCCTGAGAAGTGGAACTAGTGTTAGTCCGCGGTTCCGCTTGCGAGATTAGCGGCGCGTGAATAAAAGGCAGCCTACGGCCTACCGACAAATTTCATCAAAACCTGTTCAGCAGTAAAAAGCTGCTTCGAAAAGTAACAAACAAAAAACAGGAAGATCGGGATTTCACATTTATGACAGTGTTCGCCCAATAATTGAAATTCGACCACAATCATATTTTATTGATAAAACTAAACCTCGTAAACTGCTATTAAATAAAAAAAATCGGTTGAAAAACAGAAGAGAAAAAGGTACTAAGCTGTTTAGTTTGTAAACCAAGGCCTATTTGTATATGTATGTAGATAGTGTGGATTTTTTACCGACATTTTTTTACCGACATTCTGAACAGGCATCTCTTGAAAATGGATGGAATTTGACTTATATACTTAGTCTAATTTGAGTGCAATATATATATTTCAACAATAAATATATTTCAGCCTATTTAACTAAAGAAATTTTATAAATAGATTATTATCTGTGACGATTTTTGATTGTATTATCTGTGATAATGGCGGAATCAGGGTGTTGTTTCACATCAAAGCTATGAAATAAATTGATTTATCATTTAATATTGGTGAATAAAATTAAAAAATAGCGCTAAATAATAGAGAATTTTAAAATTAATACTTAATTTAAAAGATATAATATTATGAAAAGTTTAAAAATTTCATTATAACTTTTAATCAAATTTACTTAATTATAATTTCGTTTCGTATAAAAAATATAATATTAGCGAATAAGACTTAAGGACAAGTGATGAATAAACAATTTTTTTTTTCGAATTGAATGTTTTTCGAGGTTTTGACAGTTGCGCTAATTCTATTAGGTCTCATATTAATGTAACTGTGTGCATATTTCTGGAAATCAATTTAAAAAACCGTAATTGATAAAAAATCAACCGTAAAATAAATTGTACATTTTTTTTGTATACAAATAAAATGATATTTTTATTATTTTTTATCTGGTAACTGAGGCACAGATCAGTATTTTAAACAAAGTTTTTTAATAGCATGCCTCAAATATTAGCCATTTTAACCATTTTTTTTATATTTAAATGATGTTATTTTTATAATAATTAAATTATCTGTTATTATCAAATATAAGCTATACAACGTAGCAAATCCTTAACTTTGATACAGACAATCATATGTGATGATCTCCTAGCCGATTCCGGCCACGGCGGCCAATCTCATTGAGATTAGCCAACTGCGCAGGAGATATTACAGTGCTCAAGTGTACGCGCAGACACAAGTGCACTTTCTATTCCTATCACTCTCATACTCGGCCCGACCCGGGACTCGAACCCAGGACCTCCGGGTGTGCAGCCGTACATGCTAGCCACTACACCACCGAGGCAGTCAAATGTATGTAATATATGTATGTAGGTCATATACGGGCAAAGCCGCAGCAAGAAAACAGGTTATTGTTCCTACAAAATAAAATCAAAAACTAAATGCTTAGCAAGTTTATTTTTATTAACAATATAAACTTAAAATAAACTAAAATATTATATTTCCAGAATTCCTAGCAGTGATGACAGGCGAGTGAGAGCGCTGAAGACAAATATTATCTCTGGTCTTACTTTAGAAATAAGTTTTAGTAATAAGATAATAATTTATGTTATTTATACATAATATTTATATTTAATAGCTAATAAAAATAATACGTTTCATATTTTTAAATATCTTGATTATTATTTTTCATATTCAAACGCTCTTTGAAGGTTGGTTAAGGCATTATCACACCTATGAACTCGTATACATAATAATATTATGTACATAATATGTATAACTCGTACATAGCGAGTTTAAGTATGTAGCCGTTCAGATCTACTCAAGTACCTATTATTTATTACATTTACGACTATAATTTTGGAAATCCTAACAGATGTCCTTTTTTTTTAACGTTGGGAAATGCATTTACGCACGACGTGTGGGACTCACCGGCGTAATACAGCCAGTACTACCCACTAAAACCCAACAAAACCTTCCCGCGTCTTAATGGGGCGTCGCAGGATCGCTTACGCATTCAACTACGACGCCCCGACGGCAGGTCTGCCAAAGCAGACCACCACAACCATGGGGTTGCTCCAAGGTCCACTCTGCTATCAGAGAAGTACCAGGAGCAACCCGCAAGGTACACCGCCCCCCGAAGAGGGCCACCTCCCACCGCCCACCGAAGTGGGCAACCTCCCTGTGCGTTTCTTAGCTTCGCGCCCGGTTGGATTGCCGGGCACTACTGAGCCCCCCCACCACGACAAGGTGAACGCACGTTGGGGGGGGGGGGGGGGGGGGTGTCTAACAGATGTCCTGAATTAACTTTAATTAAATATATGAATTCTGATAAATTTCAATCGTCCCTAAAAGACCTGAATATTTTATTGCTAATTTTAGAAAGTCGATTAATTTATGATTCTAATAAAATCTATAAAAAAAAATTAGCTGTTCAAATAACAAAAAGTGTAATACTCAAAAGAAATCTTTAAGCAATTTATTTTGCCATGTTTTTCTTAGTTTTTTGATATTTTAGTATATTCGAACTCAGGATTACACGTAGTTGGCAAATCCAGACAGCTATACGTATAGTGGACAGATATAAGCTACGTACGTGCAAAAGTGCAAAACAATTGTACAGCCAAGTATGAAACTTAGATGATAATTATAAGCAGACTAGCGACTCACCCTCGCTCCGCTCGGGTTCGTCCCTAACGTGGGCCACCCTTATCACTTAGGGGTATGGAAAATAGATAGTAGCCGATTTTCAGACCTACTGAATACGCATATAAAATTTGATAAAAATCGATAAAGCCGTTTCGGAGGAGTACGGTAACTAACATTGTGACATGGAAATTTTATATATTAGATATTATATAAACATTTAATTACTAAAGCGAAATTTTTATTATACTTTTAAATTACAATCAATTTCGAGCTTAATTTATGTCAAGATATTGTAACAGTGTCGTAAAAGCATGCAACTGAAGTAAAAGCTTTGTCGCAATGAAAATGTTGTACAATTAGTTAAGTAATGACGATTTGTAATATTAAAGATGAATTAATAAAATTTTAAAGAATTATATGATATTGTATATGATCAATGCAAAATTAAAAACTAATTCGAAGTCATAATCTATAGGTACATAATAATATATTTTTTGTAGTTCCATGGTAAGCTACGAGGCTTGTGTTATCGATACCAGATAGTCGATACACTATACATATATATATTTAAATATATACGTATTATAAATATAAACACCCATATGGAGTACAAACATTCGTGCTCATCACGCAAACGAATGCCCCCAGCGGGACTCGAACCCGTGACCGCTGGCACAGCAAGTAAGGTCATGAGCCAAACGTGTCGTTATATTATTTGTTACTTTTACTTTATCAAATTTCACAAGGTGATAATAATTGATAAAATATTTAGATAAACGGGTCTCACCCAGATATGTGCACGCGGACGTCCTACCAACTTTTATCACTCTCGTAGCCTGGTGGGACGGCAATCTGACATGGTCGTGTCAGTGAGAGATCATGTGCAGAATCTACGGCTTTACGGTTGGTACCAAGATTTTAACGATTAGCAAGCGTGCATGCTAGCTAATATACCGATAGGTTATAACAATTATCGGTGATCAAAAAATTAGCGAAAAAAATATTTATATTACATTAAGATTATAAGATATGCAGATGTATGATTTATAGTACTCTGAAACCGATTCGAAAAATTCTTTAATTATTATTAAAATACCACATTACTTTTGTACCTTCTCATGTGTTAGTTTTTATCTACGTATGTAGAATTCGAAGCCGCAGGTGAAAGCTATTGCGCACTGAAATTATGATAGACTTTCCGATTTTCCTCATTGTAACAGCATCTAGGGATAAATGTTATATATGTAGTACTAGCAGAACCCGCGGCTTCGCTCGCGCTAAAACTACAAAAAATCTCTGAAAAGGTAGTTTCATACAAACTTTCGTCCTCTATATTACCCCTTTATAGTACGAATTTACCAAGCATAAATGTAGCATTAATACCAAGTTTCAAAAAATTCTGATCAAAAATATTTTTTTGGATTGTATTATAAAATGTTTTCCCGTGGGAATTAGCTAATCTCCCGCGGTAAAAAGTAGCCTATGTCACTCTCCAGCCCTCTAACTATCTTCACACAAAAACCCACACCAATCCATTTCGACGTGAAAGAAGGACAAACGAACAAACAAACACACTTTCACATTTATGATATTAGTATGGATTATAGTTATGTAGCATAATAGTACAGCAATATAAAGAACTACTTGCTGCCTTGAGTGGTAATACTCAATACCAAGCTGTCACCGTTTAGCTTCTACCTGAATTATTAGGAATTCTGCAAACATGACAAGTGTTTAGAAATTCGGGCAACTAGTATGGAAACTGACAGTGATTCACTCAGATTTGATTATCGTATACAATTAAGGTATCATATTATACCTATATCTAATAGTTTATTTTGGTGGAAAGCTCTGATGTTTGACATAGCGTATGTAATATATTAATTTAACTCATGATATCAAAAATCTTTACTAATAAATGGAGAGCCGATTTTTTGTTCGGTTATACTGCGATAACTACTGAACCGATCGGAAAAATACTCATACTATAAGATGCAGCGTGTTTTAGAGAAGGTTTTAGTATATGATATTAATGTACTACGCGGGCGGAGCCGTAGGAAAACGCTAGTGGAAAATATTTTCAATTTGGTACTAAGTTTTTCAAGATAATAATATGTTACATAATACACAATATTTCCCATTTTAATGCACAGATTCTCATGACTGTATATTTTAATTATAAGCAATACGTTCATTAAGTTTTCTGAAGACTTTGTTATATACTACCACCAAAGTTTGAGAAATAAAATTACATAAGCTTATGCACCTGCCAGGAAATGATGTTAGAATTTAGATTGATTAATGCTTTGTAATTTTGTGTAGATAGCTAAAGGCTATTTGTGGTCACATCAACATGCTGTAATTTTTGCCCATTCGTTGCAATCTAAATTGCATTCACTGAAACTGATTTACATTGCAATTTTATTACTTGTCTGTTTTTGTAAAAATGGAATTATATAGGTAATACTGTAATTTATCTTAGTTTCTTTAATAACTTAATAAACCAAACTAAATATTTAACTATATGAGTCAGACACTTATAATCATATATCTTGGCTTATTAACACTTGAATATTATACCATAAAATTAAATATTTTAATATTGATAGCTCTCTACAACAAATTGAATCGATAAGTATAAAAATAAATAAATGAAAATTATGAAAATCGTTCTAAAACAGCATTTTAACAGCTATTATTCTAAAAAACATTGTAATTTATAACATAATTTAATCATAGGTTCAATTTTTGTTAAATTGTTATAGTAGTTTAACTTCAAATATTGAACCAGTTGTCCATTCGGGTGTTCTAACGCAGAATAATCGTGCTTGCGTGCACTGACAACGCACGCACGCCTATAATTAACTATAGAATTAGCGGGCTTAATAAGGCTTCAAAACAAATTTTAACAAATTACCCAAAAATGTTAAACTCGATACAAAAAGTTGACGTAAGGAATGATGCTGAGACCTTTTTTTAGAATTCAACAAGTTTTACATCAATACATCATATTAACTGCGTAAGAACACTATTTTTTCTTACCTCCCTAGTATGGTTGCGACATGCCGCTATTTCCCTCAATACCTACATATTTGTACACTAATGTAGGCTGACAAATAAATCAACTGTCAAAGTATCGATAAATTACTTACATTAATATATTAAAAAACGCGTATAATTGTGTTTAAAAAAAATATTTTTCTTTTTAGCATAAAATGTAGAGTGAACTTTAAAATTGATGATTGATTTAATATATATAATAACTAGCGTTTTCCTGTATAGTAAATTAATCACTAACATATCATATACTAAAACCTTCTCCGAAACACGCTGAATCTTATGGTATGAGTATTATTCCTATCGGTTCAGTAGTTATCGCAGCATAACCGAACAAAAAAATCGGCTCTCCATTTATTATTATAGATATCATGGTAATAAATTATGATATTTAATGATATAAATAGTTTATTTCTGTTGTATACTTTATTTTAAAAAAATTACGGCAATTTTGCAAAAACTAAGCCGTAATATCGATATTTTCAAAAGACACTTAATATTAACGTCGAATAATTTTAATTACCTAATCGACACATGACCTACAGCAAGCCATACAGCGTGACTGCTTAGGGCGAGTCGATATGGGTCAAATACAAGTATTATATCATTTTAAATATTCTACTATAATTGAAATTATATTAGGATTAATATGAATAATATTAAGGAGGATTAAAGAAAGCAATGAATAACGTTAGTATCAAGATTTGATTATTCCCTGACCGCGGGCACGCCGGCGTCTCAATTAACAATAGATTTCTTAGAAATTTACCTGAAGGTGTTATGGAGCCTACTCTAATAAAAACTTAAATTAGTGGCATATTCTTTAAA